TGCGTGCGTGCGTGCGTGCGTGCGTGCGTGCGTGCGTGCGTGCGCGGCGCGCGCGGCACGCACGGATCACATATGTGTGTGTGTGTGTGGGGTGGCCAGCTGTACTACTGGGCCCTTTCACCAGTCACAAGCGTTGAAGACTGGCGGTTTTCGGAGTATTTCAATAAATCACCACAACTCTCAGAATTACCGTATTGTAATTATTTTTTGACACAGTAAAGTAACATTCAAGCTTAATCTAACACAAAAAACTAAAGTTATCTAAGTTTAATACTTTAATTTGTATGATTTTTAAAAAAATTGGCAGGAATTTAATTTTCCTAAAAATTTTCAGAGACATGACAGGTAGAATGAAATTCACAACAACAACAAAAATAAAAGTTCGAAGTGTTGTATTTTGATTTGTATGCATGTGTGAGTGTTTTTTTTATATGAGACAGATGTACGGCACGACGTTGTGATTTCGTTGCGCGAAAAACAACACCGGTACTAGTGCTAGATCTAGCTCTAAAACTACGACTCGGGCCGTGTTCGGGTACATATCCAGGATCCTAACTATCAGACACATCATATTCTGAGACACTAGGACAAGTAAAACGTACAGAAGTATCGAAAACGGCGAAATTATGTGATTCTTGTTCATGCGACTTCTTCGACCGTTACTACGACGCGACTGTCGGATTACTATCAGCTGTATAGAAAAAAACAAAGCGCGAGGTCCAGTCAGTTCAACCCCAGTTGGGGTCACTGTCCTTCACCTTCAATAACTTAAAAACTACGGGCCCAGAGATACGAAACGAAGTCTAAGTAGCTCAGGCTTGGCCAAACAAGGGTACGAGGCGGGTCTCGCGATCCGTGCGTGATTTGTAGAGCGGAAAAAAAATTCCAAAGTTGGTCACGCAGGGCTTGTGGGAACCGCCGCGAGCGTCACGGCGGGGGTCACGCAACTGTTGTGTGAATCGTCTGAAGTGAGTTAACAGTCCAGATAAAGATTTTTAGATAACAACTTTTTCTTATACTACATTCAACTGTGAGCATTTTACTCTTTATTTCAACCAAATTCATCCATTAGAACGAGAGATAAGAAGCCCTTCTGAATAAGTAAAAAACTCATGCAATTTTAATACAGTCATTATCCCCTGCCCTTCCAAGGGCAAAGGAGTCTTCTTCTTCTTCTTCTCGATCGCATCACACTTGAAGTCTGGTATCTGTCATAAATTGGGCCGTCCTGCTCAGTTCATCTGTCGGCCGGTATAGCTTCTGGCAAAGGAGTAATAAACATGCATTTTAAAGTCTGTTTTATCTTAAAGTATCTCTTATGGCCCAGATATGCTTCTGTCCGTGAGACAGGGGTCTGCTTTCCAATTTAAAAAAAAAGTGTTTAGGATGGACTGAAGAGAGGGGAAGAATATAGCTCACTCCTGAGCAATAAATGACGCACACATGAAACAAAAATACACCAATGGACACATGTAACATGCGTAAAACACTAACCTTATTGCTTGTGCTTAGCTTTTGAGTCCCTTTGCCAGATGTTTTTGCTCCTCGCTTCAGTGATGGCAGTGAAGACAGATTGCCCCCGGGGCAGTGCCACTGACTGTAGTGACCCCCGGGGCAGTGCCACTGACTGTAGTGATCCCCGGGGCAGTGCCACTGACTGTAGTGTCCCCCCGGGGCAGTGCCACTGACTGTAGTGACCCCCGGGGCAGTGCCACTGACTGTAGTGACCCCCGGGGCAGTGTCACTGACTGTAGTGTCCCCCCGGGGCAGTGTCACTGACTCTAGTGACCCCCGGGGTGGTGCCACTGACTGTAGTGTCCCCCCGGGGCAGTGCCACTGACTGTAGTGACCCCCGGGGCAGTGCCACTGACTGGAGTGTCTTTAGGCCATTCCCCCCGGGGCGGTGTCACTGACTGTAGTGTCTTTAGGCCATTCCCCCCGGGGCAGTGTCACTGACTGTAGTGACCCCCGGGGCAGTGTCACTGACTGTAGTGTCTTTAGGCCATTCCCCCCGGGGCAGTGCCACTGACTGTAGTGTCCCCCCGGGGCAGTGTCGCTGACTGTAGTGTCCCCCCGGGGCAGTGCCACTGACTGTAGTGTCTTTAGGCCATTCCCCCGGGGGCAGTGTCACTGACTGTAGTGTCCCCCCGGGCCGGTGTCACTGACTGAAGTGTCTTTAGGCCATTCCCCCCGGGGCAGTGCCACTGACTGTAGTGTCTTTAGGCCATTCCCCCCGGGGCAGTGTCACTGACTGTAGTGTCTTTAGGCCATTCCCCCCGGGGCGGTGTCACTGACTGTAGTGTCTTTAGGCCATTCCCCCCGGGGCAGTGCCACTGACTGTAGTGTCCCCCCGGGGCAGTGTCACTGACTGTAGTGTCTTTAGGCCATTCCCAAAGGGGGGACATTTCTAGTTCAAGCACAGTAGAATTGTAAATGGGCTGATTCATGTCACGCTCATAACTGTGCCTGATCTACAACAGGGAACTGTTGCTTTTTCTTTCCTAATCCTTACTATTGTCATTTTCCTCTACTTCTTTTGTATGTTTGTCACTCTCTTGTGACCTGCTGTTTCCAGGGTGCCTTGATAGTCGAAGCAGACCTTGTGCTGTTGAAGCTAGAGAGGTGAGCAGAATAAGTCTGATTCC